CAACAGATGTCCACCAACTGATTTGAGTTATGAATGACACGACCTAATTCCTCAGCCTCAAGGCTTGTGAGGGAAGGACTAGGGCTTACAGTAATGTCGTGACGATGTGCTCGGCAGGTGCAGGCCCTCAGCATGCTCAGGGCTGTGGCAGCTCCAGAATTCCATCTCTTCTTTGAAGGGGTACAGCAGCCTGTGTTGCAGGGTGCAGAGGGTCCCCTCTCAACAAGTCATCCTCTGGAATGGCCACTGGCTGGGACAGAGAGGTGATATCCCAAATCCAGCCTCTACACAAAGAGGCTGTCAGACTAAGTGACATGACAGAGCCCAGAGGGTCTCATAGAGACACACCTCTTCCTGCCCCTCTCCATGTGTTGGGGGTCGGTCCTCCTGAGGAAATACAAAGGGCCACTCAGTCAGCAGGCCGTGACTCAGTGCCACTTTTTAGGGAATGCATTTACCATTCACTCTTGTGTTTCTGCCTCTGTGTGTGTGTGTGTGTGTGTGTGTGTGTGTGTGTGTGTGTGTGTGTGTGCCAAAAGCACATGCACAGTTGGGATCCTCCCGGCTAAAAGGGTACAACATAACCCTTTACCTATTCAATGACGATTGAAATTCCACCATTTAGTGAATTACTCCTCTTGCTTAAGAATTATCTCCTCTTCAGAATACTAATTCCACAGGAAAGGGAATAATGTTAACTTACTTATTTACAGTTAGTAAGGTTGTCAGGCTCTTTCATGAGAAAAGTTTTTGATGAGAAATGCTGAGCCTCTTCCTAGGGTCTAGTACCTTGACAGTGAGCTCCTGAATGTAGTTATGTCTGATTATTTTTTAGATAACCACCTGGTGGGAAACCTTCCACACAGCAGTTTCTCACTCTAGATCTTTATATGAGATCTTTGCTACTTCCAAATTTCCAGTAAAACTCTATTTTATACAACTGCAAGTAGAATATTTTGGGTAGGAGGGGGAATTAAGGGGCAGGAAATATGTCCACATTTGGGCTTAACCTGGAGTTGTAATAAAGGAATTGCTGTAAGACAGAGAATGGAAGCCCTGTGTTCAGAAGATTCTGGAAACCAGAGTAGGAAGCAATAGGAACAAATTTCAGGACCTGAATCATTGGAAGTCCTGAAGGAGGGCTTTAACCTTCCTGTAGGATGAGGGATGGAGAGGTCTGAGTTGACCTTCACTCAGTTTGAAGGGCAGGTAACAAAGATGGCATCTGGGTTACATCTAACTGGTGTGGGGCTCATTCATTTTCCTCCAGTGCCTCAGAAATCAAGTTAAACCTTTAAATGCACTCCCACTTCTCTGAGAGGCAGTACAGAGTAGCTAGCAGCCTAACATATGCTACCACACTCCTCAGGTGGAAATTCTAGCACCTCCGTTATGGCTACATGACTTGGGCAACGTGCTTTACCTCTCCATTCCCCAGTTTCCTCACCTGAAAAAGAGGAATAATACTAATTCCCAATTTGGGTGGTTTTGGGAAATTAAACATATTAATGTACATAAAAAGTTTGAGATGAAGTTTGGCATGTGGAAAGTACTACTGTTCAGCTATTTTTATTATATCCCCAAGGTGATTTGGGAAAAGGACAATATTGTCAGACACCAAGCCTAAGCATCCACCTTATTTAACAGATGCCGAAGCAGATCCCCTGTCCAGCAGAGAGGCTTCCCAGGAAGGCGGATGCCCAGAGGCGCACTGCGCCGTGCTGCCCGCTGCCCCAGAGGGCTGCGTCTCCCCTTGCTAACAGGGCCTGAGAGGGACGCAGAGCACCAGACTTCCACCAGCCCTAGGGGCACTGTGCCGGCTCTGTTTTCAGGACTTTTCCCTCTCAAAAATTATGACGGCTCTTTTCTTCCCGAAGCCCCTGAACACAGACAGCTCTTCCTCTTCCCTAAATCCCTACTGAGCCCTTGGGTCGGAGTTGAGTGTGATGATGAGGTGTGTTTCGGCTCAAATGCACGGGTCACCTGTGTAAGGAGGGACTCACTCCAGCGTGCAGGGGCCGGGAGCAAGGAGGGTGCCGAAGGCTGTGGTCTTCAGGCTGGGACTTGGGCAGGGAGAAAGCCTCCGTCCAGCGGGTTCTTGTGCCCGTGATGGCCTGGGGGAGGAGGGCATAGGATGTGCTGGAGTGGGGAAGAGGCAGCCTGGGGGAAGGGCCTGTGTCCACAGTGGTGGGACAAGTGGGTGTTTGGCTAGCCAGCTGGCCGCCAACCCAGTGCAGCCCAGACCCTGAACTCAGATGTGGGGTGAACCAGACGTCCATCTTCACCATGTAGAGTCATCTTGGAGTGTCACCCAATTGTCCATGGCACCCCCAGAACTTCCCAGTTCCCACATGCCATTGCCAATAAGGGTAGATGGAAATGTGTGAGGGGAAGGTTTTCAGACCATTGTGTCACTGCTGTAAAGTCAGACTCTCCCAGATGAAAATCATCTTTGATTGCTTATTACTAGGGAACAGGATAGGGTGAGAAGAGGTGAGGAAGAATAAGGCAAGTGTGTTCCTCCCTCTGCTCCAGCCCTTTGACCGCCACAATATAATGAATTCTTCTTCCAGAGCACCGTGTTACTCTTAGGAGTTGGCTATTGTATCCAGATGATGCCCCAGCCTCTGCTATAGTCTTTGCATTTCACTGGCAAAACTAAATAGCAATACATTATCTCACAGAGACTAAATAATTCTGTGATTTTGGTGGTAAAATAAGACAGTGACAGACTTATTTTCCTGATAGACAGAGACAAGGTCTCATAATTGTGGGGTCCTTCTAAATTTTGTGAACTATGATTGCAACCCCCAACCTGCCACTTTGCACCACTTACTTGGAACTAGGACCAAAAAGTCTAGTTCCCAAATTGGATTGTTTTTTACCTTTTTTTCTAGGAGAGGCCTCTGTGATTCCTTATGGAACCTGCCCCTCTGTCCATAAAAATATGGTTGAATTATGTCCATTGTCCTTTCAGAATTCCCCAGTGTCCAGGTAGAACCAACCTTCTATTATATAGGCTTCCATTCAGCCAGGATATTATCTGGACAACATAAAAAAATCAACTGTTAGGTACACTCATTTTTTTTGGTTGAGACAAAACAGTTTATAATTACTTAATCCTAATTTCCCCAGCCTCCACAAGTTTTCTGTAGGCCTCTGTCATGATGTCCTCCCTGTGCTGGGCTGACCCAGGTTTCCCTTCAGGTAGTGCCAGCCGTTCTGTAGGAGTGGAGGGGTTATGACTAGAGCTGGGCTGCCTGGGCTGGAACACTGGCTGGTGACTTGCGGGTAGTTACCGCTTTGCCTCCGTGTTCACATCTGCTAAATGGAGATAAATAATGCCTCCTCAGTTGTTGGAATACTAAGTGTATAAAACGAAGATCATAATCGCTTCATTGGTTTTTGGAATACTAAGTGTGTTGATACATTTAAAGTATTTAATTTGGTGCCCGGCACATAGCAAAAGCTTTAGGTGTTAGCTCGTATCTTGCCCCATGCATGGCGCCATACTTGCCGATGATACCCAAGTGAATTCTCCGGACTACTTCTTGTCACTCTGCATTGGATAACTCCACAAGCAATCTGGACCTCTGCCTGGTGACATGGAGGATGCTTTGCACATTTGGGAGAGGACAGTGGTCTCTGGTTGTCAGAGTACCTTCTACCTCACTCCTCAGAGATGCTCGTAAAATATAATAACCCAGTGCATTCATTTTTGTACCCATAATCTCCATTCCCCAAGGCACTGGGAATTAACTATCTGGTTGGGTAGAGAAGTCCAACATTGATCTTTCTTCGGAATAACCCTGGGAGGTAGAGTGTAAGATGAACTATGAGGCATGTCTCCGGCATGCTGACGGTACTCCCTTGTTCTTCTAGGAGCATCTTATTCATGCAGAAATACCTATTGAATGCTGACTATGTGCCAGGCACTGCTCTAGGTCCTGGATATATAGCAGTAAAAAATACAGATGAGATCCTTGCTCTCTTAGAGCTTACATCATCAAATCCAACAAACTCAAGAATTCTATTAGAACTTTTCATTAATCCCCTCTTCTTCAGGACTGCCTATTCTGAATGATGACCCTGAATGACCCCAAGATTCTGAAGGGCCCTGTGAATCACCAAAAAAAGATGACATGTTGGCCACTGTAGTTTTGGTGATAGGCATATTTTGTTGTATTCTAACACTGTTTTGAAAGCAGATACTCCACATAACACATCCATATTTTCCATAAATATTTAATTTAAACTGAATGACCCATTCACACAGAAAAAGTGATACCTTTATGTGAATTACTTGTATAGTTTTGTTGGTTTTTATTTGTGTGTTTTCCTTGTATGTGTCCTTAGGTCTCTCACCAATTATTATGTCTTCTCTGACCTGCTGGTCGGTGAGCTTCATCAGGGGAGGAAGCTTCCTAAGCCTGTGCGCATCCCACTAATGTCATTGCCGGACAGGCTGCTGGCCCAAGGAAGGAGGCCAGGTCAGGGGAGCAGTTGCCTGATGTGTCCAGACCCTCTCTATGGAGCTTGCCCTGAGGGCTGTTTTCCGATACCCAAAGGAAACTGTCAGGGGAATGAGGTCCTTACATACCTGTCTCCTGTGTTTCTCTCCGCTTCTCAGAAATAACGTGATCGAGGGGAAGCTCTCCACATCTCCTCCCAGCACTCATGGTCCCTGCTTCCAAGAGTCCTGGGCAGAAACCTGGAGAGAGTTTGGGAGTTGTTCCTCTTTTTGATTTGAAGCAATCCATATGCTAGGAAGCGAAGAAGAGGCCAGGAATCCCAGTGTTTCACTGCGGGATCACGTGCATGTGCACATACACACCTGCCCAGCCCCATCTCTGCCCTCAAAGGAGAAATGATTTCCTGCTAGGAAGACTAGGGGTGAGTGCATCTACAGGGCAAGAGAGAAGGCAAAATCATACCACAGGGGGAGAGCAGGAGAGAGGAGGGAAAAACTCACATGCAGAAAAGGACACTAGTGTTAGGGAAAGAAATTTTATTTTCAAGCTTTTAAGAGAATACAAACAACAGAGAGTTTTAAAAAACCCTAAAAACTAGTTTAAAAAAGTACTTGACAGTGTCCCTTTAATACCCATGGATGACGCGGCCATTGTGCAATGACAAGGAGAAACTCTGCAGGTGACCAGCCAATGGCCTTCCCGGACAGGGTCCCAGGAACCAGCCAGTTGGCCCTCGGGGCAGTGCTCCCTGCAGGGCCCCGGGTCCGCCCAGCTGCACGGGAGGGTCCAGAGAGCACACAGCACTGAGGGAATAGCCAGACTGCCCTCAGGCGACGTTCTGAGCAGCAAGGAATACTGATTGGCCTCCCCTCCACCCCTTGTGGCTCCAGCCAAATGCCTCCCTCGGAGACCCTGGGCAGGAGGCACCCTGCCGTGGGGAGCCCTGGGTCTCAGCATGGCACCGAGCAGGGCCTGGCCATGGGTGGGGTTGGGCAGTTGGGAAAGATGCTTCTGCACTGACAGCTTTGGAGACCGAGGCCGCAGGCAGCAGGACTGTGCTTGAGATGCCCACAGGGAATCTGTACTTTTCTCTAGTTCTGTGTGTTTCCTGCAAACATCGTTGAGCCAAATCACCATTAAATAAAACTAACAAGGGCACAAAAAGACACTCATTTCCAACCCTTAGCCCTCTCTGAGCCCATCTGAAATGGGAGGTCCAGTTTGGAAGGTTTGGAAAGGAGGAGAAATCCCGACACCCTGGCCACGCACACAAACATCTCCCTCCCCGCACACTGCCTCAGAGTCCCCAAAGCCATCTGAGTCGGGAATCCTGCCCACTCAGAGGAGCCCAGGGGCCCAAGTGCTGTGTGTGACCCCTGCCAGCACAAACCCGTCCCCCTCCCGCCCCACAACCACTCTCAAAACACAGCCTGGGGGCAACCAAAACGGCCCAAGGGTGAAACAGGGCAGGCCGCGTGCTCGCCTCTCCCACGCCCTCTGCGCTCTTCCTCCCGCCGCCCCTGCACAGGCAGGCGCCCCCGCCCCACCACGCTGCCGCCGCCCTCCCTGGCCTCCTCGTCCCCCTGCGTCCGCGAGGGCCCAGCAGGGTGTTTCCAACACTGCTTCTCAGGTTCAGTCTGTATTGCACTTCGTTGCGTGTGTCGGTTGTCCTTGCTCTGGTCGGAGAATGGATTTGACTGGACATCACCAAACTGCACCAGCCTCGCTCCAGCAACAGGCTGCCCCCGGGGCCTCTCCGGGCCCACCAGCCCCCGCCTGCCCTCTGCCGCGGCCCCTGGGGTGCCCCCTCGCCTCCCACCTGAGCCCCAGCCCGGGTCCCGGCGGCCCGGCCCCTCCGGGCCTGCCCACCCTTCCCGCGTGGTCACGGCCCGCTTGGGGGCTCCCCGCTCACACTGTCGTGACCCTCATGACGAGCTCCCGGCTGCCGCCCTGGGGGCTCCGCGGTTCGTGAGGCCTCAGGTGACTCAGCATGTGCAGGATGGTGTAAGCACAGTGGTGATCGGACAAGGGGCCTGAGGGGTGGCCGGCCGCCCGCGCAGAGCCTGCCTCGGGGGCAGGGGTGCCCGCGGCCGCCTCTTCCGAGGGGGGGGCGCTGGCCTGCGCGGCCGAGGAAGTCCGGGGCTGGGTCCTGCCTCCCGACTTCTGATCCTCCAGGTCTTTCGTTTTGTCATAGTTCAGCACTTTCCACTGCTGGTTGACAGCCTGCCACCGCTTAAAGATGCGGTACACCGAGGGCCCCTCGTGGATGATGAGACCTGGGGCGCAGGGAGGAGAGCAGAGGCCGAGTTAGGGACTGCAAGCCCTGGCGGGAGAAACAGCCTTCCTTTATGTATGAACGGATAGAGGTGTTGGCTTGGCTGGATCTGTATGGGCTTGATCTGTTCTTTTCAAACTGGCGGTTCAGCTCTGAGCCGCAGGGTTACCAGCCCCACTTCCTAGGCTCCACTGGTCCTCAGAAGTAGAAGGCGGAAGGCTGCCACCCCAAGTTCATGAAGCAGTCAAGCCCCTACCTGCGATGCCTCCGCCTACCTCTACTCCACCCCTCCCACCTCTGGGCTTGACAAAATCCAAATTCACCATCCACTGAGGCATCATATAAATATCTTTTCCTCAGTCTACCACGTATCCATGGCAGCCAGTACTTAGCAAATGTTGAATGAATTGTGTGCTTTCAAAGGCCCCACGAAAGAAACCCCGTGGTCACTTCATACCTGCTGAAGGATGTCTGAAATTCCACTGGTTAAATCTTTGCTAATTCACAAATAGCCCAGTGCCACTAAACACACACGCCCCTGGTTGGGAGAACTTTGATGCAGTTATATTGGCCAGAGGCAGTGTAGAGTCAAAAACCAGCCTTGGCAGACCACCAGGGAAATATTAACAGCGTGCTTACTACGTGCCAAGTGCTTGAGCTAGCACAGTGAGCAGGGCAGGCCAAGTCCTGCTGTCCAGGGCTTACATGCTGATGGGGAGACACAAAGACATGTAAGCAAACATAAGACTATCTCGGGTCTGACAAATGCTATGAGGAAGATAAAATAGTGTTAAATCACCACTGGCTGCAGACACTGAGAGTCCTGTTTCATCACACGGGTGGTGGAAATGGTTCTCAGGCTGACCCATGGAATCTAGATGGATGGAGGGAAGCGGGACACAAAAGGAATAAGGAACAATGAAAAAGGAAACATAGAAAGTGATCTGGTCAATGCCAAGGGGTCTCTTTGAAGTAGGAAGATTGCTGGAGTCAGAGGACTGACTGACTGGGGGATGGTCAGAGAGGGGGATGTTTAAATCCAGATTTTGAAGTAGTATGGCTCGTGGTGGTGGTGAGGTCTAGGAGGTGATCAGTGGAGTAGGGGCTGAGGTGGGCTGGGAGAAAAGGTCTTTGCAGTTATGAGGATGCCAGGGAGTTGGATAGATTCTCTGCTTCAGCTATCCTCAATGCTGTCAGAACAACTGCCCCCTTTTCATAACAAATATAATTTATTATCCCTTTTCCTATCCCAAAATGAAATTCATGAGATAATATAAGACTGTAGTTTCTTTAAAAAAAAAATTAATATACTGCCCTAACAGATCATGTCAAGAAAAACAAAGGGGAAGTCATTAATAAGACAATATAAATTTCATTATAAATGCTGGGGCACAACTAAATTATAAAATGAACAAAACCCCCCATACATTTCCAGAATGCTCCCCAGGGGATGGTCCCGCCTCTGCTGAGAACCACTGATCTACAGAGGTGCTGAAGACAGGAATGGTGGGAGGGAGTTGCGTGAGCCAGGCGCATCAGGGGATGTGAGGAGTGAGTGGGTGGTCAGCAGGCAACAGCACGCAGAAGGCGCAAAGGGTGGTTAAATAAGATGACGTGCACTTCAAAGAGGCTAGAGCTTCTGAAGGGTAAAGGAAAAGGAGTAGTTTGGAAGTGGTAGTGGGAGCACAGAGGACGTGGTCCCCACCTCTGGGCCCCCTGGAACACAGCATATGGGAGAGGAAGCAGCCAGCACTCGAAACTCCACGCAAGAACCAGTGTCCTCAGGAGGTGGCTGTTTGAATCAAAGGAAGATGAAAGGCTCACTCAGAGACGTTGCCAATGGGGTCCCGAGGGCATGGTGGGAGGGCTGGGAAGATGGGGCATTTGAGGGATGAGCAACACGGGAAGGGGATGGTTGTCCACATGCTGAGGGTGGCCTGGGAGGCTAGACCTGTGGTGGTGACTGAGTTGCCGGTGGGGGTGGTGGTGGTGGTGAGGCCCATGGGGTTTGCCCTGCAGCAACTGTCAATCCAGGGCTGTGGCTGGGCTGGCCTCTGTGGGGAACTCAGGGAGCAAACCGTGGTTAGTGACTCCAGCCTTCTCAATGTCAAGCAAAGAGACTGGAAGGAAACACTTGAAAGCTTCTCCAATCTTGAACACACTGTGATTCCAGGAGACAAGACAGCCACCCATTGCCACTTTTTCTTCCAGTGTTCCAGCAGTTCCTGAAATGGGCTCCCTGTCTCCCTGCAGTCTGGTAGTTCTTATCCTTTTGGTCACATACCCCTTTGGGGATCTGATAAAAGCTAAAGACCATCTCCCTGGAAAATAAAACACACACACACACAAACTTCCCGTATAATTTTAAGAGGGTCATAAATCTCCTGAAGACCGTCTATAGACCCTGTGATCTGGCCTGGCTGATTCTGGGCAAGGAGACTTCCTCTCCGCCTGCTTCCTCATCCTCTCCCCATGTGCCGACTCTCGTTGCTTCCTTCAACTTTCTGAATACAGTAGCCCCTCCTTATCTACAGGGGATACGTTCCAAGACCCCCAGTGGATGCCTGAAACCATGGATAGTACCCAACACTATATATGCTGTGTTCTTCCTACACATACATTCCTATGATAAAGGTTAGTTTATAAATGAGGCACAGAAAGAGATTAACAATAACTAATAAAAAGCAGTTATAAATATATACCGTAATAAAAGTTATGTGAATATGGTCTTTCTCAAAATATCTTATTGTACTGTATCCACCCTCCTCCTCCTCATGATGACATAAGACAATAAAATGCCTGCATGATGAGATGCAGTGCAGTGAATGACGTAGGTATGTTACATTAGGCTGCTATTGACCTTCTGAAGATATGTCAGAAGAAGGATCCTTTGCTTCAGGACCACGGTTGACCATGGGGAACTGAAACAGTGCACAGCCAAACTGCAGACAAGGTGGGAGCATTCATGAGCCTGGGCACCCCGGCTCTACAGCGTTCATTTGTTCGTTTACCCCACAAGCTGTGTTTGAACACTGCTATGCTCTTTCCCTTAGATTGTATGCCCCTCAAGGACAGAGGCCAGGAACAGGTGAGGCTTGAGCAGCTGACACAGTACCTGGAGCTTAATGGAACCTTGGTGATGATGCAGGAGATATAGGGGCCTGGGGAGAGAGAAGCAGGGTCTTTTGAGGCCCCAAACTAACTCTTTCCAATAAGAGCCACTACACTTGATTTTTAATTAGCTTCTTGATCAGACAACTTTACCCTGATTGAAGAGGGTGGCTTAAATATTTGGTCTGAATGCCACCTTCTAATTACCTGTCTAGTGTTCAGGAAGTAATTAAACCATTTTAATGGATAGGTGGCTGAAGGGGAGGAAAGTGCACCTGTTTTTGTAGATAATGATTGTTTGGCACAAGTTGGAAGAGCTCAAACTACCTCATTCACATCACTCCCTTTAGCCCTCCCTCTGCTTTCTGCTCAACAAAATTACTTATTGATTCCAGGGCAGAATAAGAAAGATGCCATGGATGGGTGGGGCTCATCTGATAGGGACAGGTAAAGGGGACAATGATGAAGAGACAGGAGAGAAAGATGGGTGGGAATGGCATTGGCAAGAGAAAGACTGAAATCAGAATTGGAGGAAGAAGGCTATTGGTAAAGGGAAGCAGAGAAGCAAAAGAAGAAAATGGAAAATCAGAATGCAAGGTAGTATCGGAAGCTCAATACATTTGGACTGTGTCCTTCTCTGGGATTTTCTGTTCAATTTCACAGTTATCTAGGACCCAACCCTAGGCTGTATTTACGCGAACTCCAGTTCTGGAAGAACTGCCACCTTCATCCTTCTGTCCCTCCACCTTCTGGGGCAGCTCTTCCTCGCATAGCTGTAGGCTCTGTAGGTTGTCAGACTGTTTGTCGTCATCTCGGCCCTGAGCTCCAGCTGAAACATCCCTTTTCTTAGCCCGTGACACTGGGAGGAACACAGCCATTGTGACAAGGATGACCAACTGCCCACCTAAACCCCACACTCCTGTTCCCTAGTGGAGATGCCACTGAGAAGGAATTACGTTTTCAGCCCTCTGCACCCAGGCAGAGCCTAGTGACTGGTACGGAATGTGAGCATGAGTCAGAACAAGGTTTAAGAAATAGGTATTGAGTGTGTAATAGGTAATAAGTAAAAAAAAAAAATAGGTAAAAAGTGCACGTGTATGTGCCTTATCCAAGCTCTCCTTTGTTTTCTATTACCTGGAGATAAAGATATTTAAAAGCCTACGGGACTGTGGAGTCACATGATGGAAGGAGCTTGGGTCCCTGAATTTCTGTGTGGAGGAGAACCTCCTACTGATCAGGAATTTCTATTGCATTAAACCACTGAAATTTGGGGGCTTATGATTATTATTATTATTATATCTGCTGGAGCTATCCTAATTAAAAGACCTTCCGTGCTAGGTTAGGGGCCACAAGAGAAAGCAATTTCTGGCTCCATGGCATGTTTTATGTAGTCCCCAAAATGTATTATCTGGCTTGATCATCATCCTTATTTACCAGACTGGGGCTATTTCTAGCCACAAACCTACCATCAATGGACAGACATGCCACTCCTGGCTGTGTTCCACAACCTGTGCCATGAACACTAAAGACAGTGCCCAAGAGGTGTCCCTAAGATATTTTGAGCCTCATTGACACAACTGGGACAAGTGAATTGCCTGCCAAGGGGTCTCCTTTGAGGGGCTTCAGTGCTCACTTGCTGTGTCTGCTTCTACATCAGTCATCTTCATCTCCCAGTCATCCAGCAGCTCAGCTGTGGAGAGAAGCAGCCATGCATAGGAAGTTCAGAGGGTGAGGAACGGGGAAGGTGGGATATGCACTAGCAGTTCATCCAGAAGACTGGATAAGCCACAGGCAGATAATGGAACAGGGACCAAGCATCATCTTACTCATTTACATGGCTGATGGGTATCCGTGTTTGGCCTGGTGCAACGTCTTGGGAATCTCCCACCG